ACAGGAGTTTATTCTATTCCATTAAGTGATCGCCGTTTTAATTCAGAGCTAGTTTACGTTGGTGCCACCATGAGACTTTTAAAACAGAGGATTAAAGAACATAAATATTCTATTACTAAAAACGTGGACAGCACCGTCCTTGCAGCCTTTGCTAAACATCAAGATATTAATGTACATTGGGACAAAGCATCCATAATTAGGACAGCCACCAACAAACAAGTCCTTAAACATATTGAAAAACTTGAAATTTACAAGGCGCATATTAACAAAGGATGCATCAACCATAGAGACGCAGAAAGTCTATCCTGCGCATGGAAATCTTTTTACCATGACGATTAATTTTTATTTTTTAATTTAATTTCATTCGTTACCACGATTAATTTCTTAATATTTTATTTATTTTATGTTTTATTTACGTTTTACGTAATTAATTTTAATTTTTAAACCGTTGTATAGCTTACATTCTATTTTACGTTCGTTTTCCGTTTTAAAGTTCGTAACTGATGAAGACTATTAAATATAGTCGAAAACGTTTTTAATTTATTAAATACGTTGCTGGAAATAGTAAGATGGTTTGATTATTTTATTTACTATTGAATATACATTTTCAGCCACTATTTTATTGGCCCTCTTCAGGAACAAAATGCAAAAAATGTTTGAACATTAAATATTTGTATATTTATTTGCTGGAAATGTGTGTTTAGGTGGTGTTATGTTAAATAGAATAAAATATTAAATATAAATTTAGATAGTGGAAATAATTAGTGGATTAATCAACCAGCTAAAAATGACTTAAAGAAAATAGTTATATCCATATTAAATTTGAAAGTAAGAGATATTCATAACAGGACAGGATGCAGTTTCAGTAATTATTTAGAATTCCTCTGCTCCCATTAATGTCTATAACTGTCATTAAAAATTCAGTCCACTTACTGCTGCATTAAATGATTCTATTATATTGTAAAAAAGGGAAGGCACTGAGGTCGGCGTTATGTGTGCGTTTTTTTTATTCGCTATACCCTACTCCGGCGGTATTAAGAAAGGCAAGAAGAATCATCGCCTTACCAGGTGTTTCCTCAACCCTAACTGGGTCGCTCGATCCCCCCTCTAATNAATTCCTCTGCTCCCATTAATGTCTATAACTGTCATTAAAAATTCAGTCCACTTAATGCTGCATTAAATGATTCTATTATATTAAGTGAATATTTTAAGTTCTAAAATTTTATTATTAAATGTTAGAACTATTAAAATATTTTTCAAATTAGGTTACATATTAATGTGTGTAATTTAATTTTATTATGTATAATTTCCTGTACAAAACTCTAAATAAATAAATGTAATATCAACAACTTTATTGAATGTATTAAGCAAATGCTTGTTACAGAGATTATTGAGTTACAAAAAATATATTGATGAACTTTTTAATGTTCTATCAACATATTAATAACTTAATTACTACAAAATTATTCATCCTCATTGAACAGAAAATGCTCATTTTCATTGTAAAATTTTATCAAAACTTCTCTGGCATACCCCTACATCTTAGTCATATAAATATTATATAAAACAGTACTTTTTTGTAAAATTTCAAAGTAATATCTGACATCTTAAATGGTTCAGGTCCTCTCTTCATGTTTTTTATTATGTTTCATTCGTATGTAAATATTTAATGAAGAGATTGACCAACTAAAACTGCCTAGGGGTATGCGGAATTATAGTTTACTTAATAAGGATGTAAAATATTTTTAAGCTAAATAATAAAACGCTTTAATAAATACCAAACATTTTAACTGATTTGTTTGGATATTTTATCAATACTCTAATTAATGTATGGTAAAGGTTATGCAACAGGTAATTGGGTCTGAATAACCTAATACTTCTTTATAAAAATTAAGTATAGGTTAATGATAAACCCATATACTGTGTATGAGATTGAGAAGAATTCATCAAATCCTGTTTTGAAATTTAGTGTTTCATCATTTATTGTGAAAAGTTTAACCAAGTAAACTCTAAATAAAACCCTCACATTACCATTATTAAAAAATAAAAGAATTTTACTTTTCAGCTGCTGGTCTTTCTATAGTTATATAAAAGTTGAAATTGTTAAAGTTTAGTAAAATAACTAAGCTCTAACAAAATAGAATTAGTTTTAATCAGATTAGGAGAGAAGAAACAATGTCGAAGAAGAAAACCAATAATCAATTTCAAGATCTGAGATTTTGCAAGTGACAAATACAGCTAAAAGCACAATTTATCATCTTTTTAGTCATTTTTTTATATGCATTTGTATTTCACAAATTTTTATTTATAAATTTTGATATAATGGAGTTACATTCCATAAACACACCAGCATGATTATGGATAAAAAGCTGGCAAGCATTGTGATTGAATAGTATTGTTTCCTTGTGCTGTTTGCATAAAGAAGCTCCTCAATGTCAAAAAACTAATCTCTACTTGAGATGAGCTTCTTAAAACAAATAGTAAAGAAAAAAAAAAGTAAGGAATGTTTGAGGTTGTTGATATGTAAGAATTTAGCAGAATACTAAAACTTAGGATAATGAAAATAGTAAGGCAAATAATATGATTAACTAAATGTAACTATAAATAAAAATATCCCACCTCTTGATTTTATTTAATCTTTGTTCTCGGTTTTGATCTTTCTTAAGCAAAATTTCTATAATGATTCATATCTTTTTTAATGTTGTTTGCTATAATTTTTTTGTTTTCATTTTTTCTTTTAAGTTTTATTCAACATCTTAGTTTTTAACTACGAATTTGTAAGTGATTTGATAAATGATAAGATTTAATATGAAAACTTTGGCTCTAATATTAAATATTATTTATATAAAACCAATAGTTTTTTTTTCTGTAGAAAAATTGGCAGTGATAATTATGATGAACTTAAGCGTAAGAAAGAAGATTTGAAAGCTCAGAATAAAGATGATTTAAAAAAGCTGACCAAAGATGATAAGAAAACAGTAAAAGATGAAAAAGATATTAAAAAACCAGGAGATAAAGCTGGAAAGAATGAAAAAGTCATACAACTACCAACTGCTAGTCCTGTAGTAACACCTATTCAGGTATTTATAAGTTTAATTTGGTTTCAGTGAAATTGTCATTAGAAAATAAGTTTGAATATTAATCAGATCATATACTTAATCTTAAATAAAAATCTGAATTTTATAACTAATTAAGTGTTTAATCTAATTTAACTAAGTGTTCAATAATTCAGTCTTTTATATGTTCTTATTCAAATAATTACAAAAACATTACAAAATTATTCAGTTCAGTAACTGATTTATTATGAAAGTAGAAGATTGGAACTAAAAGATGAAGAATTCATATCAGTAATAACTAGAATTTCTTTAAATATTGCTGCAATTCACTTGTTTCCAACTATCAAGCACCATGGCGCAGTGATTATCATTTCTGTCTATGAATCAGAAGGTTTCTGGTTTGAACCTTCTCCATGGTGCATCAGTTTTTTTATTATTACGTTCTCAAAGTTCAAATGTCCGCATATGTTAATTTACGATCATTTGCATATTTTGAGAATGCTTCCTCATGCTATAAAACTGTGTGCTAACAAACTAAGTTCAGTTTTTCTTGTACTGCATGCTACAGAGTTAGTGTATTCTGTGGACTAATAAACATCTATTTGTATTCATCGATGACTCATGATTGTTGTCATCTTTGCTCTACGTGACAGTGTATTTAATGAAATGAAACAATAAAATTTATATTATTGTTTGTAGGTTAAAATATTGGATAATATATGTGTGCATAAATTCTAAAATAACTCCTTAATAATTCTTTAATTGAAAACAGTTAAAAGAAATATATTACTTGTATCTTCTTTACCAAATCAAATATGTGAATAAGTGACTTTGAATCAGTTTGTGCTTGAATAAATGTGTGTATATGTTACAGGTATCTGTTGCTTAATGCAGGATTTGATTAACACATGAAATCAATTTTGACAATCCCTTTATATACACAGCTGAAGTTTAAATTAACATGGCTTTAACAGCCATTTTTACTTAACATAAATATATTTTTTTCAGCATTTGCTGAAAAAAGCATATTATGTTGGTAAAACGGGTGTTGGTGAATTTGGTATTTTTGTGCCAATGGTGATTTAGGTGATTTCTGACATAGATCTGTAGTTTAATTATGTTAGTTGTGAAATTTAACACATGTGATATAGTATTCTTTGTTTAGAAGCTTAAAACTTTATTTCACATTTTGTTTGTATGAAATCAAATCAAAATGTCTGCAAATAAAATGCATTTTGTATACTTTTTAAGTTTCATAAATGATATAATGCTATACAAACAGTAAAAATACTCGTAATGTGTGTGTGAAAGAAGCTTCTAAATGTCAGGCATGTCAAACATGGTTTTGAAAGTTTTGTTAGGATACTGAAAGATACAAAACACATGGGGCACACAAAAGCTGTTGATAAAGAAAAATTTCAGGAAATTGTTAAAAATTGATGAATAACAACTTATAAGCTTGCAACAAATTTTAGTGTGTCACAGACATAATGATTGTGTTCTGTATGCATTAAGTGAAGTAATAAATTAGATTGAGTATAACTTTTGTCTGACAAAGGTAGGCAGCTCTAAAGTTTCATTTTTTTCTGAATTAGTTATTCATTTTTATCAGAGAATGCTTTTTATTGATGACAAAAATATTTGTTTTTAATAAAAAATTTGTTCTGATGGTTGTGATTATTTGGTTGAATACTGAATTATCATTGTATTTGATTAATGTGAATTTGATATACACAGTAGCATTGAGGAATCAATTAATTGCATTAATCAATACACATTCATGCATGCATGCATGTGTATTGTAAGTTATTTATTAGAATAACTTAGGCTAAATAAATACTTTAGAAAATTAATGCCTAACAGTTTTTATTCTATATTATTATTAAATAACTAAAATTCTGTAAATAATCATTATTATTATTATTATTTTAGTTGAAAATTAATACTCTAACTGGATTGCCACATACACCACGATATTTTGAACATTTTAAAAAGCGTATAACATTACCTGTATGGGAATATAAAGATAAATTTTTTGAAACATTGACAAAGAATCGAATCTTAGTATTAGTTGGCGAAACTGGTTCAGGAAAGACAACGCAAGTAAGTATTTGCTATTATAAATATCTCACTGTTTATTGAGTTATATAGATTATACATTAGTAAAGTATATCCAGGACCTATGCAATAATTATAAAAATGATATAAATGATGATTTTTGTACTTAATTATGTGTTTTTAGTGCCTTGATGTCCTAGCTATGTATATTAGTCACTCATTATTATAATTGTGAGTGAAAATTATCATCAAGAAGATTAATATATCTTTTTGATGATGATTTTAATTATATCATTAACATTAAATAATGTTAATGATATAATTACTCGGATTTTTGCTTTTTGAATTGCATATTTTAGTAAGTGATTCTAATAAACTTGTTTAGTAAATATTGCAGTTATTTGCTGAGTGAATACTTTACATCCAAACAGTTTTTATTATTGAATCTTAGCCTAGCATGATATTGAATATTTTGTTATATAATTTTGCTTGACCTTTATAGGAAGTTATTGTTGTAAGTAAATTATAGAAATTCTTACATAGGTGGAGATTGTTCAGAATGATTGAACAATAAGTATATGTGGGATTGGCAACATAGGGTTAGTCTTTTTGTTGTTGAGAAAAGTAATTAGTGATTTTATATATATATATATATATATATAAACTTCTGCTCTACAAACCCCAAGAGGGTTTTGTCCAGGACCAAAATGGGATGGATGGGTAGTGAGGGACATATGTATAGGGAGTGACCTGTCCAGATATGTTTGGCTCACCCACACATATCTAAACAGATCACATACTGAAAAATTCCTGAGGTTTTTGACTCAACCAGACATTATCATGGGTTTTCATAATGATGGACTGCCACCTTTAGTGCTCGTCCATATAGCCATCTGAGGTTAGATGTTAAAAAATAAGTCATGAATTAAGGTGAGCTAAGGATTATAAGTACAGTAGAGCATCGATTATCTGACTCAATTGGGCTCATGTTGGTCGGATAACTGAAAAAATCGGATAACCAAAAAGAATGAAAAAAATACATTATTAGTATAGTATATTAGTATATCCCATGTAAATAGTATATTAGTATATCCAATGTAATCAGTATATTAGTATATCATTAACCTACTTCACGTTAAATTTCCATCAATGTTAAGACTAACAAAATTTTTTAAAGTAATAATCGTCGCTATTGTATCGTTAAAAATTATTTTTTAAATTATTTTATTGCTCACAAAACAAACAACCACTTGTAATTAGAAAATTAAGTGTCGTTTAAATCCTGGCCTGCCTTTCATGGTCGAGTCAGTGTTACCAGCTAAAATATGCAAAAATTTAACAAAAATAATATTAAAGTAGCCAAGACATAGCCAAATATTGTAGCGCCACATCACTAGTGGACATTTGAAATTTGCCGACTAGAATGGTCAGTTAACCGAAGTGATGGTTAATTGGGGGTTGGATAATCGATGCTCTACTGTAGTGGATATTAGCATTGTGTTTTGAACTATGTTTTTATTGTTTTCTCATAAATATATTAATTTATCTGTAGTTATAATTAAGCATTAGGAAATTAAAATCAATTAAATGTTTTAGTAATAAAAAAATTTATAAAAACTTACTATTTTTCAGATACCTCAATGGTGTGTAGAATTTTTGAGAGAAAGAGGTGTAAAAAAAAGTGTGGCATGTACACAACCTCGAAGAGTAGCAGCAATGAGTGTTGCTGCTCGAGTAGCAGAAGAAATGGATGTAATGCTTGGACAGGAAGTTGGTTACAGTATTCGATTTGAAGATTGTTCATCTTCTAAAACTATTCTAAAGTAATTTATTTAAAATATATTTTATTTTATTACCTATTTTTGATTTAAGTATGTAAATTTATATACTGTATAATCTTATTTAACAGATATATGACCGATGGTATGTTGTTGAGAGAAGCAATGAGTGATCCTTTACTAGAAGCTTATGGAGTAGTATTATTGGATGAAGCTCACGAAAGAACTTTGGCTACTGATATATTGATGGGTGTTTTGAAACAAGTAATCAATCAAAGGTCTGATATGAAAATTGTTGTGATGAGTGCAACATTAGATGCTGGAAAGTTTCAGGTAATTGAGTTACTATTTTATGTATGTTTTATTATTAATTTTTAATTACATGCAACAGTAGGCCTATCTTTAAACCTTTCCTTATCTATTTACTGAAAGGTTACGCATTGGCCAAGAATAATAACTACCACTGTTCTTAATTATTTTTGAATGTTTAAATTTCAGAAATATTTCCTCCAGTGATACATACTTTTAATGGCCAAATTGTGTTTTTCATTTGAATTATCTTTTTAAAAAGTTATTAATTAATTTTTTATATAAATAAAAATTAGTTTGAAATTAAAAGAATTCTGTGTAATTTGAATTAAAGGCTTTAAATAAAATATTATTAATAAATAAATAACATCATTCTTTTGTTTTTAAGAAATGGTTCTAAATATGAATTTTACTTTTTCTTGCAGCATTATTTTGATGATGCTCCTCTTATGACCGTTCCTGGTCGAACCCACCCTGTGGAAATTTTTTATACACCAGAGCCTGAACGGGATTATTTAGAAGCAGCAATTAGAACAGTTATACAAATTCATATGTGTGAAGAGTCAGAAGGAGATATATTACTATTTTTAACTGGTCAAGAGGTATGTAAAGAAATTTGATAATAAAATAGTAATTTTACACAAAAAAAGAACACCAAAGAGAGTGAATGTGTTCTCTTAGGTTATAAATGTTATTTATAGTAAGAGTAATTAATTTATAAAAATATAAAAATTAGAATAATGTTTTTATTTTTATAAATTAAAAGATAAGATTTGTTGCTTTCTTATTTTTATTTTCTTATTTGATAGTTAAGTATTCTTTATTTGTTAAGTTGAATACATAAATAAAGCACAATTAAAAATCAGCATTAATTGGTTGGAAGTATATTTTCTTGTATTTCAATTGTTTTTTATTTTTTTGCCCTAATACAATTAGAATTATTATAAATATGTCATAAATATCCTATGTAAAGAAAACATTTTTATTCCTTATGAACGTAATTTTTAATTTATGTGGTACAATATATCAAGTTGTATTTATTAGATCTACTTTCTTTGAAACAAATTATCACATATAAATTTTTATTTTTCTTCTAAGTTTGGAATAAGTTTATAGATTCTGTTAAAACTGATTAATAGTATTATTTGAATTAAAATGTAGCAGTATTTGTGATTTTCCCAAAAAAGATTATAGGCATTTGATTATACTTTTTCAATAGAATTTAAGAAATAATAATTAATTTTCTCTTTAAAACATATTTCTTGTCACAAATTTTTATATAAAGTTCACATTAATGATTTTGCCATCAGTCATAATCAGTTTTAAACATAGATAAACTATTAATTCCTATACTATATTGAAAACTAACATTTCAACATTAACATCAGAATTATTCAGAATAAAACCAATATTGATAGTATTATTTAATTTGTAATCTGTAATGGCTCACTTGAAAGCCTTCTATTAAATATTAATTTAAGGTTACATCTGGGCCAAAAGAAAACATCATTGCCTTAATTATTCATGGAAGTGTTTTCATGAATATTTCCTGCATTGATACATCCTACAGTAGACACATGTTATATTTTTTTGTATTGATTGTTATTTGACCCTCTGGAATAAAATAGTGCTATTTCTGATTGGAAAGACAAGGAAAAAAATATTATTACTCATCTACTTGGTCCTGTTGATAAGCTATAACTGCAAAATCTATAATGGAATGTTGGAATTTATTCATAAAATTTTACAAACTAGTGCAATATACAAACAAGCAATCAAAGTATGATAGAGAAAAGGATGACAATTTAAACAGGCTTGGGGAAGTAAAATTATTAATAGGAATTCTGTATTTAGCTGGTTGTAAAAAGTTTAATAGCTACATCAGTGAACTGTGGACACCAGATGACATGGATTAGAAATAGTGAGAATGGTGATATCTGAGAAAAGGTTTAAGTTTTTAATAAATAACCTTGGGTTTGATGGCAAAAAACAAGTAAGACAGAGTTTAAACAAATAAAATTGGATACAGTTTGCAATCTTAAAAAATTGTCAAAAAAGTATATCTGATGAATACTGTGATGTAGACAAAAAATTGGAGACATTATGGAGAGGAGATGCAGCTTTCATTAGTACATATTGAGTAAACCAAATAAATACAGCATCAAAATTTTTGATAGTTGACTCCCATATGTACTATGGACACAACTTTGAAATTCATTGGGAAAGACAACTCAATGGTCCATATTTTGTTTCAGATTTACTGGAAGAAGTGAAAGGTTTAACAATGATATAGTATAGCTTAATCCAGCAGAAACATACCATAGATAATTGGTTTACAAGTTACAAAATTAGCTATGAATCTATTTAAGAATGATAAACTGACAGTTGTGAGGATAATTCAAGAAAACAAGTGAGAGTTACCAACAAAATTTGGAGATTATAGAAAAAGAGATATGTAGTAGCTTTTTAGTTTTCAGAAAGACCTCACTCTAGTAGTATATGTATCTAAGAAGATGAAAAAAATGTTGCTTTTACCTATCATCTATGCAACATACTTCTACTATTGATGATGAAATTGGTTCTTTACAAAAATCTGAAATCCTTTCCTTTTATAATTTGACTAAAGATAGAGATCTAAATAGATAACTTAGATCAGTGGTTTCCAACTTAACTCTATCATGAAACTCTCTTCAACTTAGTAATTACTGTTGGAACCCTGACAGTTTTTAATGATTATAGATAAAACAGCAAGTAGAAACACCAAAAACAATTTATTGAAAATACAAAAAACGATTAATAATGGAAAGCAAATATTATTGCTTGCTTCAAACTTGTTATTGATGTAAAGGGTTAATTGCAATCTTTCTAACACTTAATGTTATTTGGTTATCATCAGTTTATGCAGGTCCTAAAGTGATTTCAATAAATGAGTCCTGTTGAAATATTTTATTGCAAAAATGTGATTATTAAATTTTTCAAGATTACTTTTATATTTTTTATAGGAAATAGAGGAAGCTTGCAAACGAATTAAACGTGAAGTAGATAACATTGGTCCAGAAGTAGGAGAACTAAAATGCATTCCTTTATATTCAACATTACCACCTAATTTACAACAGCGAATATTTGAACCACCACCGCCAAGTAAACCAAATGGAGCCATTGGTAGGAAAGTTGTTGTGTCCACCAATATTGCAGAAACATCATTAACAATAGACGGAGTTGTGTTTGTGATAGATCCTGGCTTCTCTAAGCAAAAAGTAAGCTTACTTTGATTTTATTTTTGTAATTGCATCACTATATCAAAAACTTATGTATAATCATTTGTTTTTTTTTTTTTAGGTATATAACCCTAGAATTCGTGTAGAATCTTTATTAGTTTCCCCAATAAGTAAAGCTAGTTCTCAACAGAGAGCAGGTAGAGCTGGTCGTACAAGACCGGGAAAATGTTTCAGACTCTATACAGAAAGAGCCTATAAGACAGAAATGCAAGAACAGACGTATCCAGAAATTCTTCGATCTAATCTGGGATCAGTAGTTTTACAGTTAAAAAAACTGGGAATCGACGATCTTGTACATTTTGATTTTATGGATCCTCCAGGTATTTATTGTCATCATTTTTAGTGTGTTTTGTTTCCAGTGATGATCATGTTTTAAAAGATGACACTTGTTTTTCAGCTCCAGAAACATTAATGAGGGCTTTAGAATTATTAAATTATTTGGGTGCGCTGGATGATTCAGGTGAACTGACTGAACTTGGTTCTGTCATGGCAGAATTTCCACTAGATCCGCAATTAGCAAAAATGCTGATTGCGTCATGTGATTACAATTGTTCCAATGAAGTTCTTTCTATAACAGCTATGCTGTCAGGTATGGATTTAATAATAATTTTCATTACAATTTCTATTATCACATAATGAAATTTGATGCAATTTTGACAAATTTGTAGAAAGCATCAAACATTAAAACTTACAATAAATTGAATATGTATATGTTTCTAGTATTCAAATCACTATTACGAGGTTATATAAATTAATTAAGGGAAGTTGTGACAGATGAAATATTGGTTTTACTTACAATTTAAAGTACAGTAGAATCTATTTATTGTAATATGATGTTGCTATTAGTCATTAAATGTTATCAAAATTAGAATGTTCCAATAAAAACTTTGCCTGTTGCTGATAGATTTTGGTTATAGTTAAGCCTATTGCTGTTTTGAAAAAAATACTCATTTTTAAACATTCTTTTAATGCTGTCAGTAGAAGCATGCAGCTGATAAACACAGATGTTAAGTTATGGCCAAAATTTTTATTTCTAAGACCTGAACTTTGAATATCTAGCACTGCCATCTTGGAAGCCTAGAAGTTTGACAATGGCATTTGGAATGTTGAGCATGAAAAATCGAAGTTCAGCCTAAACTTTTGCATTGTGTTTTGGGTTAAAATTATAAATAATTTTATTAAAATAATGATTATTTAAATATTTATGAATAACATTGTAAAAAATAAATGATTTTAATCCAGAAATCATTTGTCTTCAATTTTTTGCAAATGATGTGTCCATAGAATTTCTATATCTGTGTTCATAAAATAGCTTATTATTATACTGTAGAAGTAAGTTTGTTCTTTTATGCCATCTACCATCAATAGCAGGATTTTCTAAATTTCTAGAAATAATTTTCAAAACTGGTTTCATTGTCATCTCTATATGGACTTATAGCCACCACTTCTCTCAACACAAGTATGTCATGAGAACAGGCAAAGTGCCTTGGAATTTTCCTACTACTATATTGTATGGTCAATGCTAATTAAAGTCAACAATAATTATTTAGTGTTTATTATCCTATAAATATTTTAAAATAGTTTAATTTGTTTATTTGCGTTTGCTGGTCACCATCACTTTTGAATGCATCTACCATTTTACGACAAATCTCGTGATGCATTGCATGACTTAAATGTGTAGTGCAATGTGTGTTACTTTGAGTTCAAACATTAGATGTATACTGTGCTTGCCATATAAGTTGGAAATTTTGACTTGTGCTGCAACCTCTCTATTATCACTTTGTCATTCCATTTTAACATTTCAAGTAATGGTTATTTTTTGAATTATTATTTGCTTATAGTACAGTAATTTAAATTGTTGGCACTTTTTTTCTTCAATTATTGGGTAAACTAACAATCAGTATGGTTACGTTTAGGTTAAAGAATTAGTGAGAGAAAAAAATGTATATAAATTTTTCATAAATAAAATAAAAAACTGTTTAGAAGCATCTGGAAGAATATGAAGTCTTATTTCCTGCTAAATGACAAACAAAGGATAAATTTCAAGTACTTCAATATTAGGCTTAAATTATCTGTATTTTGACAGCCTTCGTCTGTTGTTCCATAACTTTCAACACTCATAGCAATTTTTATGTTAAAAAGATTGACTATAAATAGAGAATAAATTTCAAATTAGATTTTAGTTTATTTGAAGAAACAGAGCTGTGATTTGTTATAATCTATTTGAAGTAAGTTGCCACTTAATGTAAACAAGGAGCAGTAATAGTGCTTTTGATTGATCTAGTTTACATGTCAGTCAATGATCAAATTGCATCTAATTCTTTCACACAAAATAATTCCAAATAATTTTGTTTTAAAATACTAGATAGAAAAATTTACTGTAAGGATATAAATTTTCTTCAGATGACTTTCAGGACATTAATATACATAAGTTAAATCAACCTTTCATTTCATATACACTATTATTTTTTAAAAAGTCATTAAAAAACAAATGGTTTTTTCTATGATTAAAAAAAATAACATAACGAAGGCTGTTTTCAATGCAGATAGCTGTTACCAGCCCTCTGGCTGTTGATGATGATAAAATGAAAAAAGAAGATAGCAAACATCAAAAACTGTTATATAATTTCAAAACATAGATTAAAAAACTGTAAGATAACTTTTATGGAGCTTAGTCTAAATTATAACCAGTTTTAACTACAAAAAATAGTTATTTGTGATGATGCAATATTTTTATAGCATTATTTTAGAATACTAAGAGTTTGATAATTAACATATGCCATGAAATATTTAGCATTTCACAAATTTTATTTTGGAATTGTTTTGAATTTTCTTGATATTTAAGGGTTGTTTTTCAAAAGTTTATAATAAGCATTGTTGAAATAATTTTTCCATTTTTAATGCTATTTAGTACTTTTCAAGAAATGATTGTCCTGTAGACAAATTAAAGTAGAAAAATTACTCATTAATAAGTCATCAATAATTTCCATATAAATCATGATTGATTCTTCATTAATATCTTACTGCAAAAAATAGAAAAACTATATGAAATGATTTGTAGACACTTGTATTGTTTTTGTTACAAATTTAGTCCTATTCTTGGAAAATGTCACATGTACTGATCCAATCATTGTGAATTTTAATGAAATCTATATATTTTCTAGGAACTCTTTAATTGCAAAAATTTTGTAGTATTGGAAAATTCTTTGTATTTGCTAAATGAGTAGTTTCTAAAAGTGGATTTTTCAGTAAAGTATCAAATGTAAAACTATCAAAAATTAGAGTTCTCTTATTAAAGTAAATAAATTGTAGATTTTTAGAAATAATTTTTGTTTAATGAGTAATTTGAAAAATCTTAAATGTCAAAATTTCATCAGATTTCTTTCTTTTTTTTGTGTAATTTTGTGTCTTTTCTTTAATGTTTCTTAGAAATTAGTCAAAATTATCTTAACTGTAATTTATTAAAGACTAAAGATTAATGTTTTTAATAAGAAAATTGAAATTTAATGTAAAGTTTAAATAAAGTAATTTTTAAAAGCATTAATGACTTAAATAATTTAAAAAGTAGTAAAGTTAAATGATCAGTAACGCGAACTTATAATGTCCAGTTATTTCTAGTAAAAATTTATTTTTTGTGCTGGACATTCCTGGAGATTTTAAGAATAGCCATCCCCTTGGGTTTAATGTAGTTGACTAAGCCCAGTGGATGTGGGGTTACTATTTTTGTGGCCCCCCTTCCAACACTCTTTAGTTCCACAGTGCTTTGTTCGACCAAATGAGGCAAAGAAAGCAGCGGATGATGCAAAGATGAGATTCGCCCACATAGACGGAGACCACCTGACGCTCCTGAACGTATATCACGCCTTCAAACAGAGTAAGTATATAATTACTGATTATTAGTAAATTTTCTCTTGTGAATAAAATAGTTTGTGTTGTTTATAAAATAATTTGATTTTTAATCAGATCACGAAGATCCTCAGTGGTGTTATGATAACTTTGTCAACTATCGTTCCCTAAAGAGTGCAGATAATGTCAGACAACAACTTTATCGTATCATGGATCGCTTCAACCTACGGCGAACGTCTACAGACTTTTCGAGCAAAGACTATTACATCAACATCAGGAAAGCTTTAGTAGCAGGCTTCTTCATGCAGGTGATTATGGCAGGATTTAATTGTAATTAATTGTAAATTTTTTCCTGTTTAATATAATAGAATTACATTTGACCATTAGGCTGCACACCTGGAAAGGACAGGACATTATTTAACGATTAAGGACAATCAAGTAGTTCAGCTTCATCCCTCTACATGTCTGGATCATAAACCAGATTGGGTCATCTATAATGAATTTGTTCTCACTACAAAAAATTACATTCGAACAGTGACAGACATTAAAGCAGATTGGTAAGATTTACTGTTACCTGTTTGTGTTTTTTTTCTTTTTCAGTTTCTTTTTATTGAAATTGGCTTTATTTTAGGTTAGTGAAGATTGCTCCGAATTACTACGACATGGGAAATTTCCCTCAGTGTGAAGCCAGAAGAGAATTAGAACTTTTAATAGCGAAATTGGAATCTCGTCAGTTTCAAGAAGGATTCTGATTGTATTTATTTTGTAATGTCACATATTGATTTTTTATATATATAAAAATATATATATAATTCAGTTATAGATTCCTAAAAATTTGGTATAGCATCGGCAATATGTCAGTGGACATTCTCACTCATTTATGTTTTCGATTGTATTCATTTGAGATAAGTATGTTTCTCGTTGCCATCAACTCAATGAACATTTCATCCTCGAGACTGGAGAGAGAGTTTTATATGGGTGTCGCAGATTAAATTTAGTTCACTTTCTCAGCAGTTCTACTTTCCGTATACTTCGGTGCCTCGTCCGAATTGTTCCGGACACTACTTTACGAGATTGAACACAGACGAAACGACAAACGGACAAGATTGACAGAATAGCGGTAGCATGCAAGAGTCATTCATCACACAACGGGAAGATATATTTTCTCAAATGTTTCGAATTTTCACATTTTTTGGGTTTGGAAACATACTTATCTCCATTTAAATAATCATTTAAATCATATGGCATGAATATATATAAATAATAATAAAATAAGGTATACTTATTTAGCCGTATATGATTTGTTCATTTGAATACTTTCATGTTTATTCCTTCACATCAGCGACCATAACCGAGCACCATTCCCACGTCATATAAATTATATGTATTCGATGGCGTAACAGTAAAATCATGCTTCTCTGATAATAAAAATATATATTTTTGACAAGAATGTTTGTATTAATGAATGTGATCATGTGTCAATCAACCAAATCAGTGAAAGTACTTATCGGTTCTCTGCTTTGAGATTTGAGTCAGATTTTCAAATTTTTATGAGAAGTCAACCTGGATATGTTGTTACACACTTACAATGCACAAAAAAAAAAAAGAAAACTTGGTGCCTATAGATCAGTTGATGAAGCTCTTGATTGCTTGCTGTTCTCTTATGCTAAGAAAATACATATAGTTAAGGTTGCTGTTGAGAACAAATCACACAGGAACACTTTTAGTGGAAAGAGGTCTGTTTATTGATAGGAAAGGATATGCATTTCAGGCTTAATGCCCCTCTTCAGTCCTATTATAGCAAATTTATCAGCAAAACTTATTACAGAGTTAGATTTACTGATTATATTGAAATATTTAGGATACATGTACAAAGATTTACACAATAAAACACAATTACCGAGATTATAGTGACAATTAGGATAACACAACTCGTGAGAAGACATGAAAAAAGAGGGAAAAGTAGAGCTAAAATTCTTTTAGCTCCACTTTTATACACTTTTGAACAGTATAATATGTGCTAGAATAAAAAAAAGGTTAACTTAATTGGTTGCTTAATTTTATATTTAAGAGAGAAAATTTTATAAAATTAATAAGGGAATGCTTATAGGGTGCAAAATAAATCCAATAAAATGTACAAAAAACATATAGGACCAAATAGGAGAGGTTAAAAAGATGTACTGTATTCCTGTATCGTTCTCTGAACATTTGGTATATTGAACTACACAGTGGGATACAATGGAGGGAGGTAGTACATTTTAATGGACTTTGCTACTTAGGAATAGCTGACAGATGTCATTGATGACAGAATGAATCTAAATACTGTTGCTGTGAATTTCATTTGTTTTGATCATTTCTGTGTTCAAAAAATTCTTTTTTTAATAATTTTTCCTTTTTAAGAATTTTGATACTGTTGAGTGGGATCTTGCAGCCATCTTGTTTACAATGAGTGGCGACTGCTGAGTTGGTGTCAAAGCTCTTATATGCTCTGCTAGTTTCACCTATGTAATAGTACTTTGGATAACATGTACAAGTGAAAGCTGTAAACAAGATTATTATGTAATTAATAAAACATCAGTATTACTATAATTTGTTCTTTGATTTTTTTAGAAATTTTTGATGTTATTGTTTAGTGTGGGTGCTAAAATGATATTATATGGTGTTAGTATTCTTTGGATGTTTTCAAAAATAGTATAGGTATTATCTAATTTTTTCTAAATTATTTGAATCTTTGATTTGGGTTGACCTGATGAGTGGTTGTGTAGCCATTTGTTGATAATTCTGTTTGGGTAGTTATTTAATTTAAAGGTATGATAAATTTGATCTATTTCTGTTTTGGTTTGAAGTTTCACTTGTGCATGTTTTGATTTTGTTGACACACATATTGAATATGTTCTTTTTAATATACATGAGTGCTGAAGTAGTAATGGATTACTGACTTCACAGAGTTTTATAATTATAGGTAACCCCCGTATAACACGGCACTTCTATAGCACGGATTCGCTCTAACACGGTTCAAGAATTGGTACCATCCCCCGTATAACACGGCACTTCTATAGCACGGATTCACTCTAACACGGTTCGAGAATTGGTACCATCCCCCGTATAACACGGTACTTTTATAGCACGGATTCACTCTGACACGGTTCGAGAATTGAGTAAAACCCTCGTACAACAGGAAATGTAATAAATTTTTACATACTTAAGTTATAATAGTTCACGAAAATAATAATTTTCATGAACTATTAGTACTTAAGTATGTAAATTTTCTCTTATCGCCTTCTGTCGATACACGTGGTCCTTCTCGAAACTTGTTTCAATGTTGCCAGATCGTGACGCTTCTGCTTCTGATGTTGCCGAATGTTTTTCCCTTATTCCATACTTCCTTTATTCTTCATAAGTGCTTAGCACCATATAAGGAAATTTATAAAGATGTTTTAACTAGAAGCGAGCAATCTAAAATTACATACATTTTGCAAAAGGTAAAGCATGGATCTGAAGATAATGCAGAAAAATGCTCAGAGGATAAGGATAACTTGCCAAAAAGAACACGCGTGGTTAATTAATAGTGTTTTTAGTGATGACGAAGAAAACATTGTTTAATTTATATTAATATGTACCACTTAAAAAAATTTTAATGAAGATATTTATCTTAATTATGAAAATATACTAGCATGTTTTTTTAATTTTTGGAACCTAACCCTCCTTTTCATATTAGTTCTTTGTTTCGTATAACACGGATTCGCATAACGGCAATTTTTTGGAATGTAACTACCGTGTTATACGGGGGTTACCTGTGCTATCAAATTTCACTAGAAATTTGTCTAGTGTAGGTAAACCTATACTAATTTAATGAAAATTTTATAAAATATCAGTGTTTAAACAATTTTTGTCATTTTAAAGAAATACTGTTTTATATATAAGTTNTATATGTATATATATATATATACATACATATATATATATATATATATACATACATACACATTTGTTTATTTAAGCAAACTGGTATAACCATGATGCTGGGAGAGAAAACAAAAATTACACAAGATCATACAACATATCCTTTAACAAAAAAAAATCACGCAACTTTTACATAGTTTATGTAGTGTACTAAATGTTATGTAATTAAAACAAAAAAATACACTCAAATGTAAGGTTATATTTTATGATCTTTTTTTAATCATCAAAGCTATAGAAAAATTAAATAACTTTAAATATTTAAAGATTGAAAGACTACCAGAACACAATTGATCTGTGTGCATTTTAGCGTTACATTTATGAAATTATGAAGAATATTTGGTTTTGAATAATTGCTTTTTTTACTATTGTAGAATTTATTTTTTGGGTTGTAATTAATATTTAGTATTTTTTTTTACACAGTTAATAATAATTCAGTATTGAAGGTGCAGTGATCCTCAAATTACTGCAGATAAAAACAAAAGTGCATTTTTTTTTTAATTCAAAACATCATTTGACAAAAGTCTATACTAAAATTTAACAATGACATGTCTCCAGAAATTTGAGGGGTCAGTTTTTCTGTCTGTCCCTCCTCCTCCTGCATTTCATGCCTCTCTAACAGAAATCTCATCGTTGCATTTGTCCGTCACTCTCGACTGTTTATGGATAGTTATTGCTTTGTATTCTTGTGTATCCAAACAAAAGAAAAGTAAAATTTGTCTTGATACATTTGAGATCAAAGGAAAAATGCATCAAATAATTGATCTCGTAAGTGTAAATTGAATGGTAGTTAACAAGTATGCAAATTTGCTTAAATTGATGAATTTTTATTTGAGTCAAATTCACAACAAATCCGAGACATTACTGAATTTCCACAAAACGTTTCTATTACAAGTAAAACATATGTACAGTTACAAAAGTTCACAAACAACAATTGCAATACGTCAAGTGTAACAAAGTTCAAATACTTTTATCCACGACAACAGGTCCGTCAAAAAGAACCCCTTCAAAAGGTTAGTTACCGCACAGTGAGACGAAACAATCTTCTAGGCCGGCTTAGGCGAAGCTAGACAAACGTGAATGCCCTTGATGTGTCCTAGGCGAACTAAAATTCCCGCCTAAACTCAATCCTTTTATACAGATTGAGGCAAATGGAATTCCACCAATCAGCGCTTAGTAGTGCTATAAGACGTCCGCTGGTGGTACAACGTCTTCCAGCCAATCCGCGGTCGAGTTTCCAAAGTTGTCTGATCGGTGTTCCCATGGTGACAACCGTCGTTTGTTTGAAAATACGGAAAAGCATGGGAAACCGTATGTCGGACAATTTTATCCTGACAATTTGGTTAATACCAATTGAAGCATTTTGATACAATTAGATTATTTTGAATTCTGTAACAAAACTCTGGTTACTTTTTGATAAAACACGAAAATAACCTCAAAGAACTAGAAATTGTTATTTTATATCAATTAGGTAACATTCATTAAAATAAATTGTAAAAAGCAATCTTCATTTTGTGTTATTTTATTAATGAAAATATTTAAACATTTTTGCTCGATGAATCGAAGAAGTTCAAATATTGTTTGTTCTGGTTTTTAAAACATATTTTACAAGTATAGAAGGTTGGAGAGAGAGAAGAAATGTGAAAGCATTTTCCCCAATGTTGATGCAAGGTTTTTGTATAAGAATTTGCAGGGATTCTCTAAAACTCAATAGTTATTTGTAATGACAAGTGATAAGTTGGCGAGAGAAGTCTTTCATTACTACTAAATTTGCTAATTCCTGTAACATGTGCTCTGGTACCAGAACTTACTTATACAAAACGGTTATACACCACGTAGAATGTTTTTTAACAGTAAAGATTCATTATGCACACTGTTTTGTTAATGTCAGTAGAGAAATTATGGCAATATTTTGTCGTGACATAGCCAAATTTTTTGCCATCTTGCCTTTCTTTGGCAGTTAAATGGCTGCCAGAGAAAAGTAAAATACTTGTTAAAACATTTAATGAGACAACGAACACAAATTTAAAGCTTTAATTTTCGGTAACATCGATTCATGTTAACATTTTACTGCTTGTGCCTGCCATTACTCTTAATTCTGTTTAAGGAACATCTGATATTTTAATTTATACCAATTTTGAGAGAATATGGCTAAATACAAGCAAAAAGTCACTCTACAATACATGGTCATATTAGTAGTCAGCACTAGGTGCTTGCATGTGGATTAAGAACCCAATCTGGTTGAAGAGTGAATATTCTTTCCTTCTGTTCAAAGATATCCTGAGAAAAGCAAACAGAATTGAAATATGTTAGTCAGTTGTATTCTGTTGTTAAGATTTTATTCACTAAAAACTGTGTTATTGAAATGATTTTGGTAAATATCTCGATTATCAGTAAATTCAATAACTATGTAAGGGGAGCCATATTTGGAAATATTACCTATTCTAGGATGGGATTTACGTTGGCATTTTTCAAAATGTTTGGCAAATACTTGACTGCTGTTTGGAAAATTGCAGACTCCCTATGGGCAGCTATTGGCAAGAGCCAAATCCGACAGAGGGCGCTGTTTTTGAGCCAAGATGGCTGCCGAAACAGGTAAGGAACCGACCATGTGTTTGTTTAGTGCCTGAGCCGGTTCAGTTTCTATCGGTGACGACTGCTGCGAAGACTAAATGGAGAACAAATCATTGAATTTATATCAAATTCTAGACTATATCGGCGACAGGAAACGTTGTTTCGTAGAAGGTGAAGCCTTTTTGGATGCTGGACCCATCGTATTTTGTGGATTAAACTCTAACAACAACACCGAAGTTCGCATTCTTGCTTTAGTGTTGCAATCTCAGATATTGGCATTTTAATACATCTCAATTACAGGGAGAATGCACGTACAAAGCGGAACTGTCTGGTTTTTGTAAACATGTGATAACGTGTTTATTACACGTTAACAGGTGAGAAGTATTTAAATATTTTAAGCAGTATACACCATGTTCCAATATAAAAACAGTTTTATTTATCATAATATTTAAAATTAGTGCCAATCTGAAGGCTACCCTGCTGAGTCTTTCAGCACTTATACAACATAGGCCAGTGAAAAGTTTGTAGCACACATTATTGTTTGTGTTTGTGTGTGTGTGTGTGTGTGTCACATATATCCAAAACGGCTTCACGTTCTACAAGACAACGTTTCCTTTCGGCGATATAGTCTAGAATTTGACATAAATTCAATGATTTGTTCTTCATTTGGTCCTCGCAGTAGTCGTCACCGATAGAAACTGAATCGGCTCAGGCACTGAACAAACACGTGGTCGGCTCCTTACCTGTTTCAGCAGCCATCTTGGCTCAAAACAGCGCCCTCTGTCGGATTTGGCGCTTGCCAATAGTGGATAGTTTCCTTTGTTTCAGAATGCTGGGCAAAACAAAAGCCATTGTTCTGATGTGAGGATTCGGTTTTGATTGTCTCTGGACGCTCACACCCAGGGTTGTTCCAAGCCTTTCTATAAAAGGTACTAAAAAGAGTACTAGATAACAAAAAAAGGACTAAGTTTTCTCTAAGAAAATTTATCAGAATGTGTGATAGTATTTAAAAAAAAATCGATTACATTGTCATAGTATTGATTCTGCACATACTTATCGATAATAAGTCAAAATGATCTATTGACTCATGCAGGCATTATTTTGACTGTAAACTGCTGAATGTACGTATATATTATATATTATTAAAATATATATTTTAATAAATAGAAATTTCAAAAATTATAGTGTGTTACATGTAACATACAAAATTCATATATTACCATGTGGAGGCTGGTGGTGGAGACTCCACTGTGATGTGCACTATTGATTAGTGTTGGAACAAATAGTATATTCGGCATGAGGCCGAATATCCAGCCAGGAGTGTGGCCGAATAGCTGAATATTCGGCCAAACTATTCGGCTTGATGAACGCACATACTAAAATTGGCACACAAACCGCACTATGGCGAGAACCCTGCTCTCTATTGGCCCACTGTCACTACACTTTGCCAATTGCGTTAATTCTTGACAGTTGTAGCAGACAGACGAGCATCACGGCAGTATGTGATAAATGATATCAAATGTGGATAACAATGAAATGATCTACACATGTAAATAACGGAAAAAGAACAGAAAAGGACCGCAAAGTGAAAATAAATACGAAATTGAGTTGATAACATAATCAAACAAGTGGAGGTAGCTTATTGGCGCGAAATTCGCGGTCGTCAATGCCAAACAATTGTTGTCATAGACTTTGGAAAGCTAAATGCTTGTAATGAAAGTCACTTAGCGTGCATGGGCGAAAGCCAGGGGCTGTTCGGGCTACCAAGCTGTCTCGAATTTGTGAAATCATAACTGTGACTTATTCCGATGTCGTAGGTGTCTCTTTTCTCCGTTATCACCAGGTGAAGAGTCACATAATTGTAAAATGCAAAATCTACGACGGAAAAGTGACAAATCGAAAGTATCGTGAGTGCGTATATTATGATGTATGCATAGGCATATGCAAACTAGAGCAATAGAGGAAAGAGAAACGGAAGAGCAAAGATGAGTGCTTAAAAAGAAGGATAGGCAGGGTCAGACCCTCAGATGTTCAACAATTCACAAACGAATAGGTGTGTACGTGTGCTGATCTTTGTAATTATAAATTGTGAATACATGTGACTAATATTACTTTTTATTTTGTGCATGTTATAAGTTATAAATATAAACAAACAACACTAACCCGATAACATTAAATCTAAATACCAAAATGATTAATTTACTGTGTTTTTGTTATTTCTTACTTCTGTTTTTAGGTATTCGGCTGAATAGTGATTAAATTATTCGGTATTCGGCCGAATAGCAAAGAATAGGCCAAATACCGAATAGTAACCGAATATTCGTTACATCACTACTATTGATGTTCACTGATCACATCCATGTTCATGTGTCACTAGTGAGCATTACCAATTGTTTAGCATTGGAACTGTTGGAGGTTAGAGCCTAAAAAATTATTTAATGCCAAAGTAAAAAAACATACAATAGAAATGAATGTTTTGAAAAGAAAGGTATTAGGATTTCATGAATGTATTAGGAAAATGGTGTTGGTATCTTGGTACTGGGACAAGTAAAAAGATACTAGATTAGTATAAAAGTACTAGCTGGAACAACACTGCTCTTGCTTTCATATTTTTCTATGAGTGTTTGTTTTTATTAACATTTTCATTGTGTTCAAAAAGGATTTTTCCTTAGTCCTCAGAGCATTTGTCTTCTACATTTCCAACAGAAATCTTGCTGCATACTACTACCTTATCGTCATTTTCTAGAACTCAGTAAAACAGGAAATCAGGTAACACTCACATCAAAACTAATTTAAAACTAGCAAGACCAATATTCAACCAAATATTTTGGATATATTACATTCATGTCAGTTTATCTAATTTGACTTCTGTCATTTATAATTATATATGACTAAATAACTGTAATTTACCTGTATGCTTTTTCTCTTGTGTACAGCCCACGCCATTTCAAAAGGTTTAAATGAGGCCCACCCGTTTTAGAATTTAAATAAAATGAATTTAGTAGAACTAGATGTGAAGATTTGTTTAGATAACAATAAAAGAAAATTAGATTTTGTAATTTCATGCTGGACAAGTTTAACACTAGTATTTATAACATTTCCTTGTTACTTGGTTATGTATATTTACGTAAAACACATTTGCGGAACCGCCACGAAAGTCGGAATTGTGAGTGGGTTTACGACCAAAGTAGGTTTTGTGTTGGACTGACCAGAACAAGAAAAGTGATCAGAAAATATACATTCTCGACCCAAGACAAGCAAGCCTGTGTTCTTAGATGAGAAAGTATACAATGTAGTGCTTTCTTTCTTTTTTTTCGTGACTCTGGGTTCTATGTTTTCTACAATACCCCATGTAGATGGAACGACAATGCCAAAATAACTAATTTTGCAGGCTTTCAACAAATTTCCACCTCTCTTGGGTTTTAAAAATAGATACTTTGCCACAAATTGTTTGAGTGTATCAAAGTCATATATGCTATTAAAACAATTCTACTATACCAATATAAACAATTATTATTTTTTTAATAAACTTATTATTGACGGTAACAATTAAGAATAAATTATATAATAGGAAATAGTCATGCCTCTGAGATGCGCGTGTAGCCCGTCTGGGATCTGCGAAAACAGAGTTTTCCTATGAAAATAACAGACAGCACCAATAAGGTCAGACAGACTATGCTGGCAGCGACGAACGCACCAGTGGAAATCAGTGGCGGTTGTGGTTTCTCAGAGGGTATCAGCGTGGTGGCGTTGATCATGTAACCCAGAGACCAACCTACGTTGAATTTGTGTATCTGCAAAGAAAAATTTAATGTTTTTTTATTAATTAATGTTGCTGCCAAATGATCAAAACATTTTTAGGAACCAACACAGGCTCATAAAGTGCACTTTGGCTTTGGACAAGATTGAAACTTTCTTTTACATTATCCTGCAACATGTCAAAATTTGCACGTAATCTGGCAAAGTTGATTAAAGTTGAAGATTTGCGTATTTGTACTTTGTTTTATTCAATTTCATCCAACAGCATTTTTGTTTGTTTTATTTTCTGGGACGGATAAATCTGGCTTAACCTGCATTCACCCTGTGGCTCTAAGAGGATCTTTTTCTATACCTGTCGCAAGTTTGCCAGGCCTGATGCATCCGGGATACATGATATACAGTACAAATTTTTATGCCAAAAGTTTCTCATACCAGATTTCATCTGGAGTCCCTGGAGAGGAGGGCCTACTATTGGATATCTGGCTGTCAAATTCTTACTTCAAGAACCCACACACTTATGACTGGTGTAAATTTTTTATCATGATTATGAAATTACATGTTTTGTTTTGTCAAACATCATAAAGGTATCAAAAAGTGAAAAAGTACATAAGTCTCTTATCAATTCATGAGCAGTAATGGGTATTTCAATTTGTACCCATTGTAAGTTTGGTTGGCCAGGTCCATGACCGGAGTGGCCAGACATATCTGGGACTTACCACCTGCAAAAGCTTTCCTGAGTTGTTTGCATGGATTTCATCCATGTCAGTCGAAGTGGCAGACCAACGCCCGACTGCCTCAGCCCTCCAATTATGTACTTTAAGTATGTTGTAAGTCAAAGTTACATACCACAAATCAATTATTTCTTTTTATCTGTTAATTTTTTTTGTCTATTTTCCAAAATTTTAAACTTGTTTCTATACATGATCATATGATGGCAACAATTTCAGTTGCTGTAGAAAATTACTTAAAATGACTGTTATTATATAAATACAAACTATTTTTTGTAATTAATGTCTGATCAAGAGAGTTGTTAAAGATTTACCTTATTTATAAATGCTATATTTCTCCACGACGTGGCATTGAACCCGTACTCTTCCGTCAGAACGTAAAAAATGTAATGAGCTTCGAAACAGAAATTGCTTACATATTCGTCTTCTTCGGGATCTATCTTCAGTGCCTGAAATTAAAAATACACAAAATAAAGTTTTATAGCTTAAAGTCTTGGATAAATCGTAACCAATAATGCATTTTTTTCCTTACATCCTCATACGAAGTATTGCAGAAAGTATTCATTGCAGTTTCATACTGTTCCATGTTGGAGTCCGACATATTTATCTTCAGAAATTTTGCTAGATAATAGTATGTCGATATTGCCTAAAATTAATATTAGAGTGAAAACTTGCTCGGGAAAGTAACATTTGAATGCATTCTATTGTAGTCGTACATCTTACCATGTATTTTGCATCCGTGAGCGACTGGTGTAAAGGTCTGAAGCAGTATCTATAAGATTCTTGACAAACCGAGAAATTCATCACTTTTGCAACTGCATTTGCACATTGTGCGGTGTCTCCGAGTCCATTGAAAATATATGTATTCTAAAGTATGTAATAATGTACTTTGTTTAAAAGAACTGGTATCTTATCAATTTGTTAATAAGTGTCATGCTAAAGCACTTACCATAAAGTTTAAATCCGAATCAAACCAGTTTTTGCCATTCTCGTGTACTGAGCATGGATGATTGAAGAGAAAATCTGCAGTGTAATTTACAGTGTCTCCTGTAAGTCCACACGGATCATCTATGATGGTTTTGTTGACATCCTCCTATAAAAAAATTTATTTAATTAATTATGGACCGTTGCAAATAGCATAAATGTGATCACTTTCTGCATAGAGAAAGGATTTTGGTGAAAATTCATGCATAGCACCACTTGTGTATTACATATGACAGCAAAGGACTAGTGTCGGGAATTTCTTGGCAAATCTGAAAACACTTTGGATGCAGATTGACCGAGATTCTAAACTCATCAATTGAGAGAATATTTAACAATTGGACACACCGATTTGGAGGAAACTAAGACACAACCACATGAACAATGACTGTTATAGTAGATGCTGATGTTGGAACTGCTCGCTTGATTGTGCGTGACCTAGGTTACTAGGTGTGCAGCTAGCAAGTTCTTAGCACCCTATTGCCAGAGAGAAGGCTAACTGCATAGTAGTGTCACTGAAATATCTGATGCAGCATAAATGAGAATATGATTCATTTTTAATGAGAATTATGGCCAGAAATGAAACATGGCACCATCAGTTAGAACCGGCTAGCAAGTTGGCCACTATGCATCTAAAACACCTGATACCAGCTCCAAAGAAAAAACATCAAGGTGACTGCCTCTTTGGGTGAAGTGATGTCAACTTTCTTCTTTGACCACAAAGAGTCTATTGTTAGTAACATTTGAGAAACAAAAACAAATTCAGAACAGTACAACCAAACCCCCTGAAAAATTGCACAGGATCATCAAAACCAAGTGATCCAGTAAATCGGCACATGGTATCACCTTATTGCATGATGACATAAGATCGCTTACTGTGATTAACATTGGACAGGCTTTGATGGGAGGTCCCAGTTAACCCACCTTACAGTCCGTATTCCTATGTAATTTTTCTTTCTTCAATCCCCTGGCTTCCAACACTAAGCAAATCCACTCAGAACTTCTGCTTGAAATTTATATAAAATCAATTACAGGTACTGCTGTTAAACAGGGACCTACTTTACTAAATGCGAAATCTACTTTTTAGTCTGTTTAGTTTTATTACACAGTGAATGGGATGGGTTTTACAAGGAACCATGTACAGTAAAAATATTTGTAAATTCTGCTATTTTTTTATTTTTGTACAGTGCATAAGAAAAGAGTTATGTCAAACAGATGCACATTAACAACAAGAAAAGTATGACATATACCCAAAGATTCATCATTTTGGTTCTTTATTAAGTACATAATTACAAAGTATGAAGAAACTTACCAAAACAAGAGCTGCATGATACCTTCTGATAGCTTCGTTCACTCCGAAACACAGGTAACTTTCGGAAAATATGTCATGTTTATTGCCGTACAGTGTTAGAGTCGTGACTGTGTCATTTTCAATTTCTTTTCGGTCTTTGACTTCGTACGCTATTTGAGTGGACGCTCCTCCGAGATCCAGGGTTCCCACTGTTGAATTCTCTTTCTTTTTAAACAGAAAAATTGAAAATTAATTTTCATTATAACTTTTATTTGTTTTAGTTAATGTTTACCTGTTTGTGTTCTAATTTATCAGACAGGAAATTTGCAGTGGTCCAGGCAAACAATCCTTCTGACTGTCCACTGATGATGTCAACGTCTTTCACATCATAGCCATCAGTCTTCAGAGTGTCGTGAATTGACACAAGTATGGCTTTTGTCAGAAGTGGATTGGTCAAGCTAGGAAAAGAAAACTTAATGTAATCAGCAATGATAATATTTTTAAGATTAAATTTTGTACTTTATAAAAACTTACTTTAGTAATCTCATCCCTGCCGTTGCTCCCAAGTAAACAGGAGTCGTCGATATTCTGTTATCGGGTACTGAGACAGACAGATTCTTCAGACAGGGCAAGAGACTTTTCCCAGCTTCCGTAAAATTTACAAATGTGTGAATTCCGCCTGAGAAAAACAGAACTTAAAATTATTCTATATCCGAGGCACGTCTTCTTTTGAGAATATGTGGGGCAACTATAATTAAAGTAGTCCTATTCAAAGGACTCTAGCTCAAAGCAGTAAGATGATTGAATAGCATATACATAAATTGTGGTGTCAAGAGGACGCAGAAAAAGAATTTGCAAAGAAAAATTTTACTTCTGAGATTGTCCCCTAGCGGATAAATGCCACACTGCAAGCAAAGAAATGTGAAATTGTGATAATGTTGCAACATTGACAGACCTAAAGGACAGTGCTGCATTGCATGTACAAAGCATCATGGGGGAACAGATGCAGTCAGCCATTGACCACTGCATCATCTGCAAATTTTACACCTAATCAATGGTGGAACAAATTTTGGCATAAATCGGCTTATTGGTTGGAGCTATGGTGTCCTTTGAATAGGACAACTTTAATTATGATCACCTAGTAATTTACACTATTAAGACTATTCTACACAAATTGGCATTTTAAATTTAACTTTAACTGGATCTTTTACTGTGGCTCAGTTGTTGATTTTTATAGGGTGCGTTTACTTCTGAGCTAATAGTGCTACTTCTGAACACCGGAAGTGACGTCATTTGCATGTGTATTTGTGCTTACATGTCCAGTTCGAAAGTAAACGCAAACGCTAACAAGAAATATGGCGGTTTCCTGCAAATAATATTGCCAAAGCTGCTATTTTAAATGTTACGTTACAGATATAACTACTTGATTCCGAATCGGACCAGAATGATGTTACTGTAGAAAAAAGAAAAAAGAAAAGTAAGGTAAAATAAAAAAGATAGAAATTTTTATTGAAGAGACTCTACCTTTTTATAAGCCAACCGATTTTAAACAACCTTAGACTTACAAGAGAATGTTTTGAAATCCTCCTCTAAAAAATAAGCCCAATTATAGACACCAAAATTACTTCCTCTGGAAGACGACCCGTGTTCTTCAAAAGCAGCTTTTAAGAGAATATTAGATTATACATACATATAATACATATTTAAAACAATTGTTTTACCAAGTGAATGGATGTGACGTTGTTTTGTTGTGGTGTAACTAAACTGACTTGTGAGTTCAAAATTAACAAATAATTGATATTAAATACAAAACACTTTTTTTCTTTCTTTCTTTCCTCTAAGGCAGGGTATTGGCGATCGTTTTAATATGTTTAGATGGACTGCGTGGAATATTTTAAATAAAGTTGTTAATTCTTTCTTACAAGTTAGTGTTAAATGAAAATGAAAAATGATCTCTTGGCCAGCACACAGCAGGATGATGTAAGAATAATGGACTTTTTTATACCCAATATAGTTTTCCTGGAATTAGCGGCACTATTGATGAAAAGCATGTGGCTATTAAGACAATTGAAGAAGCAGTAGCCTATTTCAATAGAAATAAGTATTACTCTGTCATCATATAAGTTTAGTTTGTAATGAAAAAATGGTATTCAAATGATACAATTTCTTGAGAAGTCATTTCCCATATGTAAGTGAAAATTCATTCAAGTATACAAACTTATGTAATTTTGGATTATTATTAATGCTGTTCATTTCTTTACGATTTATTTAATGCTCTGAACATAACATTTCTGAAGATTCCAAATGCGTATTAGGTAAACCTCACTTTTAATCATAAACAATGAATCGAACTTAATTTTTTTCACATTAATTAACTCTGTTTATGAAAAAAGTCATCTGAAGTTATTGAACCTTACAATGAAAAAATATCATTGTAAACATTTTACACAACAAATAATTGAAATTTACCAATACAAATATTTTCTGCCGTTTATTTTTCGAAAACAAATTCCATTTTTAGTACTTTGTACAGAAAGTAATTTTTTCATGAGAGCAGCCATATTGAATTAGTGCAAAGCTCGACAACGAACTAGCTAGCACTCCGAGCTTGCCAATTTCGCTAAACATGACGTCACATAGCTCTAAAGTAAACGCCAATGAGCGTGGCACTCGGGCGAAAGTATACAGGCTGAGCGTGCTGATAGTAAAATTAGCTCAGAAGTAAACACACCCATAAAGAAACAAGCTGCACAAAACACATTCAGAAAGCAATACACATTTTAAGACAATCATTTACCATCTATTTTACAAGTATCGATCTGCAACACTTCTCCGGTTCCTTCATCTTTGTCTCCTTTCCATCGATACAAGGTGACTTGCGTATGGGTTGAACCGGCATCCATAACAATTCCATACTGAAATGTTTTCAAAATATTCATTCAAAATCTGTGGACTAACATAAAATTCTTAGAAACAATAGCGATGAAGGATAAGAGGAGTTGGCATTGATACAATTCACAGAAAGTACCTTCAATAGAAGATATATTGTCCATAACAAATATATTTTAGAAATTCATATTTTCGACACTGCTATACTTTTATTTCATATTTCTTACTTTTGTTGTTTTTATATATACATTTTAAAGGAGGGTACTCACATCATAAGGTATTTCTCCACCACTTAAACTGTGCAGAAGGCACACCGTAACTATTCCACAGACTGCAAGAATGCAGATGATAAAAGCTAGGACCCTCCACTTCAACATGCTGCTTACATTGTCGGCATCACCTGAAATAAGATTTCTTATTAAAATAAGTAAATCTGCAAAATCAAAAAACACTACCACCTTTATTTCAACACAGAATTCATTACTTAAAAATGTGTTCTGCTGTTAAAAATATAGACAACAATTTGAATTGAAATTTAAAAAAATATTTCTTACTCCTACAGCCTAAGAGCAAAGTGGATCCGTCTTTAATTCCTAAACTTTCTAGAGTGACACCAGGTTTTAGCGGTTGATAATACAAATTATATAAACTGACATTTGGGGGGAGTAACTGCATGCCCTTCTTCTTGAAGAAAGATTGGATCACTGATCCTGGCGTGGAGGAAGGATTGCATTCAATATCCAGAATGCCGTTCACCGGTTCCGTAAGAGAACTCTGAATTCTGACTTTCATCGCAGACTACTTGTGTTTTTTAACCTGAAATTTTTAGAATTAAATCCCAAATATTGATAGTCGCAACTAGAAGATAATGTTTTGAGCTTAGTAAGACTTAATTTTTAATATAAACTTCTGTCTTTTTAGCGAACGCATTAAAGTAAATACTCACTTTACGTATGTTTTTATCTTAATTGAGCACTCCCCTGCTTCTGAATATCCATAAAAACGCAATAAAAAAGATAGAAGTTCAACATAACCGGGATAATATATTGAAAAACAAGTTTATCAAATCTCTCGTCTGATAAGTGAATAATCGTAAGTCCAATGCGTTATCTACAAGATAGTCATTCTTGAATATTGACTATTGGCTCATCTATACTTAGATCAAACACCAATGCTTCTATCCAATCATAGCTGGGTAATTTTTATTGACAGATTTCATGTAAGGAAAGATATGCACTGAACGTCAAATAGAAAATAGTACTTTTGGCCAAATAGAAAAAGTCAAATTGAACAAAAACTTCTTGGTTCTATTCAATCTGACGAAGAAGCCAACTCATTTAGGGACAAATACTCTAAAATCATTAAATTTAATAAAAACAAATGTTGCAATTTGGTTGTTACTGTATTGTATGAGTATGCAACAGGCAGGAAATTCACTGCACTTTTCTATTTGGAATAAATAAAAATTCCGTCAAAGCCAAAATGTAGGCCTTATAGATATGAGTGTAGTTTAATACTGTCGGCCATTCTCTTCTTGTAAGTTGTTATAGAAAAAAATGGGTTCCTGTGACTACTGTAATCTAATGTTGTAACATGCAAAACTGTTCTGATTGTTTCGATATCAAATGCACATGAACATTGAGGCAGAATGAAACATTGCACCATATTTACATAAAAAGGAAGCCAAATGAAAATTTATTAGGAATATTTTTGGCTTCCTTAAAAAAGCAGTTTGAGTTTACTTTTATACATAAACATGATGTTTAAATGTACAAATGGTCAATTCTAGTATCATTTATGTTTCAAAGATGTTATTGTCTACTTCTTCCACATTAAATGAAATCACAGTGCTTTTTTCATTGGTATACTATCATCAATTATTACCACTACTATTAATCAAATTAAAGTGACACGTAACTCAAATTAAAGCTAGTTCCACACAAACTCAGGATAGTCCAACAACTTACAGATAAAATACTAAAATCTTCATTAAAAAGAACAGACAGTACATAATTAAAAACAATACAGACACATAATAAAATTATACAGAAGATTTAGAAAAGACTGCAACCCATTTTTATGGTCTTTGTTAATTAAAAACAATAAAATTGGCAAAAAAACAATATAATATTGAAAGATGGTTCTGTAATTTTTATGAAATATTTTTTATATGTACAAAAATGCAGTATTGTGAACACAAAATGGCTGGTGGGCTATGAGGAACACAGCCATAGTGTGTGTGTGTGTGTGTGTGTGTGTGTAAGTATATTTAAAGTAATGTAGGGGATTATGTATATACATACTCTGTAGTACATTGGGACAAATATTTTTTGTAAGATGCATATTTTTGAGCTATTTCCCAAGAGGAACACAAAATGGTACTATTGGTTTCATAGTGGACAGCATTACTGTCAGCAAAAATGGGTCTTAAAATTAAAATTGCATAATCTAAAATAACTGGATGTGATTCCAAATTTTTAAATGAAACCACACCTTGGGAATCCAGCAAACTATTTTTAAGTTATTATAAATAGTTTGCTGGATTCCCAAGGTATGATTTCATTTAACAATATCTTGTAAATAAAAATATAAGTTTGCAGTCTGCATCATTTTGATACTATTTTTAATAAGAGAACTGAGATAAACTACAATGATAACTGAAAAAAATAGGTCAGAACTTACTAAACTGTACAGAATTGAGCAAAGTTTCACCAGTTATCAGAGAGATCCATCATTTAAAATGATAAATATTCAATAAAAGTTTCTTCTGAAACCGCCTAATTCAAATAAAGTTTCTTCTGAAACCGCCTAATATCTCATGCATGATTTTTGTCGTAGTAAACCACTCGTAACATCAATAATTAGCCAAAAGACTTATAATGCTGTCGGAAATGTCTTACGATGATTAATAATTTTTAATTGTCTTGCACACTCTTGGAGATTTTTATAATCCTGAAAATACTAAAAATAAGAAGGATAGTGAGAGACTGAGGATAAAATTGGAAGAGGCAAATCCAAACTGAGATGATGATAAGAGGAAAAGAAGATCCAAGTTGAAGACGTAAAACAAGAAGAGATTTTTTGGAAGGTGGGAGTCAAACCAAACAGAAAGGCATTTAAAATATTAATTCATATGTTCAGAGCAACAGGCATTTATAAAAATCAGATCCATTTTCTATATTAATAATTTCTGAATTTTTTTCCTCAACTAACAGAAATAATGTAGACAAATAAAACTGGATTATCTGTGTTTCGTAACAGTCACGTTTTGGCATATCTTGAAATTGTATCTAAGAAAAGATAAGAGATCTGTTGATAAATATTTGTACGTATTTTTTTTGTATGAACAAATGTTTTTGATAAGAATTAAACACAAGATACACAGAAAATCCATCTTGTAGATATTTTTATAGACAATTATTTTATCACAAAACTTTATAAAACAGAAATATTTATAACTTAGGAGCTTAAAATAGAAACATATTTCAATAATGCGGTCATTTCTCATTTAAATAAAGTATAATGTAGATCAGGGATAGTCAACCTTTTTATACCTACTACCCACTTTTGTATCTTTGTTGGTAGTAAAATTTTCTAATCACCCACCGATTCTGCAGTAAGTTAATTTAGTGCAACTGCAAAGTACTTGTGATTTTTGAGTGGCGGTTTAGTAAAAATATATAGTTAAATTTATCTTTTTATTTATATTTTGCATATGTTTATAATACACAGAAATTTTTTTGCCAGTGCGCCAAGTGTTTTTTTTACGTCAAATTGAAAAAAGTAACTAAATCTGGCAATGCTAACCCAACCACAAAACGAGCNCTGCTCACTTTTGTATCTTTGTTGGTAGTAAAATTTTCTAACTACTCACTGGTTCCACGTAAGTTAATTTAGCACAACTACAAAGTACTTGTAATTTTTGGTTTAGTAAAAATATGTAATTAAATTTATCTTTTTATTTATATTTTGCATATGTTTATAATACACAGAAATTTTTTTGCCAGTGTGACAAGTGTTTTTTTTTTTTTTTTTTATGTCAAACTGAAAAAAATAGTTCTGGCAAGGTCAACCCCACCATGAAACGAGCTCAACTCGAGAGATGGCCACTGTTACAGTACAACCTGCTCCATCAGTGAGTCATAGATGCACAGTGATAATGGAAAGTAGCTTTGGCATCAGACAAAACTCCTACTGACCACCACAAAACCCCTACTGACTACCACTGATATAGATCATCAGAGAGGGGTTCTAAGATGTAAACCACTCTAAAATTTTGCTACACCATAAAGATTAAAATTTGAATAATGCTGCAGTATAACTGCAGCATTATTCAAATTTTAGAATATGTTCAGACAAACAGACTGTGCAAATTGATGCAGTTTTGGATGATCATGTAATCTGGGAGTGTGATAAAAAGGGAAACTGGTCTTGATGTTATTTGTGTCATCATTTTTTGCGTCTAGATAAAAATTGAGGGAAGATGCCTCAAAGAGAGCCATTTCATTATATGGATGAGTTATTAAAGGTTTCATCATATAGCTATGTACAGTCAGTTGATTTTGTATCATATTGCAGCAGAAACTCAACAAGATGACACAACCATGGATCAAATTTGGTGATGGTGGTCAGAAGAATAAAACTACATTATTATAATGGGACTGGAACACCAAGATAATTATCATTACATACAGATCTTACAGAATCTTTCATAATTTATTTGTCACACAATAGAATGTTGATGTATGTGGAACAAAGTCACATTCTCACCTAGCAGCTCCAATTCTATAGCATATTTTGATTATTAGTCTAATTATTTCCATAGTAACAAAAATAAACTGGTACCTTAAAATAGTCTTAGTGAATGAGCCCATATTGCCTCATTATCCTCAAGATGTTTATGTTACTATTGATATGGACTTATAATCAAGAATGGGTGAGGCCGAGATGTCTCTTGATGCATGAACAGAAAGAGGGTTTATTATTTGATGAAATATATAATATGCAGCATTTCTCAAATTACATTAATTTACAAACTAAATATGGAAAATTAATAATGGAATTTGATGATATCAATAAATTATATAAAACTTATCTATGATTATAGTCAGATTGATAAAATTTAGAAGACGGATAAAATATAATGAATTCAAAATATTCTGGTGTTGTACAATCTGTGTAATCAAGCAATTATATTATATATATATATATATAATTGCTTGACAATTATATATATACTGACTCAACAAACAGCACTTTATACATTTTATATTAAATTAAACATTGAAAACTGGTTCTGTAAGTGTTGAATCATAAATTGTAAAAAATTTCAAGCTTTTTGTTGCAGCTTGTATAAAACATTCTCAAGACTGACTTAGTTATGCAAATATTCTAAGTCAGTCGTATATAATAATTATCGTCTACATCTTTATGAATTTGTTTGATCCGTGCCTCCAATGACTATGTATTTTCTTCACTCCAATGGTACTAAGTGTAAATCTAAACTTTCTCAAGCTTACAGATCCATCTTCAGAGAAATTCAATACAAAAATAAAACATTCAAATACCTATGCTGACTCAAAGCCATTCAATCAGTCTCTATTCATCAGCATGCAAGGCGGCACACCATCCAGAGAATCAAAGCAATAAAAATAATTATATAGTGACAATTCATGTACCACAAAACATTCCAAATACTACCAATACCTACAAACAGAACAAGCGAACTAAAAAGGGGGGACATCAGGTCAATATACCCCAGCACACAACTACATAAACATAAATTAATAAAGAAAATACCAGTGCTATCTATTATTTTTCTCAAGTGAAACATAGGTTATATTAAAATAAAGAAAAGCCGGAAAGTAAACGGCTCATCAAAAAGTTCCCAATTTCCCATTACATCAGTCCACCACTATACAGGAAGGTAGTCTATATGCGAATTAATTGTATTACTAATATATTTATTTACATTAAATGAAGGAAAATTCCATTTGTGTTTGTACTAAATAATAATATATTTTATTGTGGAATGTTATAAAATAATTCATTGTTTAGCATCCTGTTGGCTCATATAACAGGAT